GTGTATTCCCATCTTTAAGCGGGAGGTACAGATGCAAATTTTCCCTTTTGTTTTTTGGACCATTTCTCGATTTATGTGTGTCATCCTTGCGCATGGGCCATGCTAATCTTCTCTATATCGTTCCACTTTTAAGTTTTAACGGATGTCCCGAAGGACACTGCTCCTTGTTCTTTCTTCACTCGCCCCCATGTTTGGGGAGTTCACGTGCTCTGGTCCCCTATCTGGTTGTCCCGGCGGAGTTCACGTGCACTGGTCCCTTATCTGGTTGTCCCGGCTTCACACACCCGGGTCTTATTGCTTGGAATGTTTACGTATGTAGTAGAGTAGGAAAAAGAAAAGAAAGGAAAAAGAAAAGAAATGGAAGGCAATTGCGTTCTATCCCATGGGCGTGCATGGTTGAAGGTGAACGTATACAAGGTATGTTTTCGCCCCGATACAGTCAAAATGAGGGTGTGTTGTGTTCGGGGGAAGAAGGTAGAGCCTCTGCTCTGTCCCAGGGAGTCGTACCCCCGAATAGCCCCCACCTGTGCGGTGGTTTCGCCGCTGCCTAGCCATCCATGTGGGCCAGGCCTTACCGATGCTAAGCCAGGGAAGCCGATGCCATGAGTGAAGGGTGCACATAACTCAGGTGAATGGGAAATAAGCCCCTGAACAACTAGATGGCACCTGTTCTTTTTCTTTTCTTAATTCAATCACATATGTGCAACGCTGTGCTTCTCTTTTTGAATCATGTGTACAAATCAATGGTTCAACTTGTTAACCGGACGTCTGGATCGGGATCCACCGGTTTGGGGGGTCCGGTTGGGCCCCATTTCTAGAAAATTCGAAAAAAAGAGTTCTGGTCCCCAGGCTATTTTCCAGTGCCTGGTGGACCCCCGAAAATTGTTGCCGCAGTTTTTTTTGGTTGGCCCAACCGTTGCGCCAACTCGACCAGCCCTGAAGGGCCTGTACTTGCAATCTTGGGTGAGCTACAGCGGTCCAAGGAGAACTGGTTGTGTGTGTGTGTGTGTGTGTGTGTGTGTGTGTGTGTGTGTGTGTGTGTGTGTGTGTGTGGGTGGGACACTGTGTGAGTATGTGAGTGTGTTCAAGATAAGTCGGATAATACAACTGCAGCAACGTGTGTCTGTTTTTTATTTTTATTATTATTATTATTATCATTGTTATTATTATTATTATTATTATTATTATTATTATTATTATTATTATTATTATTATTATCCGGACATCCGGACCTGTTCATTCATAGCCGGACCGTCCGGGTCCGTATGTCCGGTTGTCCAGATTTGGTGTCTGGATTACGGGACGTCCGGATTAATCCAGACACGGCTCCGGGCCCGGTGTCCAGTGTCTGGATGTCCGGGTCCAGGGCTGTGTAACACTCCGTACGACGTACGGGGGGTTTATCGTACGGTGGGACGTACGGCCGTATGTACAGCCCCGTACAACAAAAAAAAAAAAAAAAAAAAGGAATCGTTTTGTTTTTTTATCTCAAATTTGGTAACGAATTTCAATATAACCCTGATGATTGGTTAGAACTCATGCAAATGAGAGTCACTCAACACAGAGTACGACAAGTAAGATAGTGTAAAGATGTAGAACTCAGTAAAGTCCGTCCACATTCTTCCGCCAACCCAAAATCCGCCAACCCAAAATCCGCCAACCCAAAATCTGCCAACCCAATAAGCCACAGTCCCCGACCGCTACCACAGTGCGGAAGGCGGTCGTCGAAAGAGAGAGACCTACAAAATCACACACGTCCTACTTAAAGTCCGTCCGGGGAGGTCACTACAAAGCACACAGTCGTCAGTTCCGGCCGTACCGTAGTACTGCCAATCCGACTAAGTAAGTTGTACTACCTACACTAGCAATTCGTAGTAACGTCAAACCGACGCGCGGGACCTGGTCCTAACTCACTACAATGCCCACTGTCGTCAGGTCCGGCCGTACTACAGTACCGCCGGCCTGACTAAGTAAAGGATACAACTGACACCAACAAAAATGGTACCTTAATCGTCCCAGGCCAAAAAAAAACACAGAAGTAACCCACTTATATTCTGCAGCAGACAATACCCTGTCAGAACAATCCGAGAAAAAGAAAAAGGAAAACACAGACAAACTCGCAAGACTTCAAAAGAAAGGACTACTGCAAACCATGCCAATCCTCTGCTGCCTACTGAAAAAGCTTCACAGTCTCCTGCCACACGTCATCCCTTCCAAAGGCAAATCTCCTCAGTACCCTGTTGAAGAATTCCACTTGGAAATCCCTCAGCCTTAACTCACGTCTCAGTGACAAGACTCGGCCAGGGATTTCACTCCTAATGGAGGTATTTTGATCAATCCTGCTTAGGTAGCTACACACCGTAGCACTCTTCTGTAACTTGCTACCCCACGACTTATACGACTGCCCGTTCTTAATTTCAAGGACATCGTTGGTCCATAATCTGGCCTCATTGCGGGATAACTGCACAGATCCCAGGTACGGATGTGTGTTTCTGCACCTTACTTCACAGCCCAAAAAATCGATCCTGCCAGTTCCATCGTCCGTACGCTTCAAGCACAGTCCCCTTGGGTAGCAATCCTCAAACAACCTCAATGCTTGCTCTTGGCTGTCGTGTGGTAATGACACCATAAATATCATAACATCATTTACCAGCCGCAAGCCAAACACCCGGTGATTTAGTCGGCCCAAGTTCCCCAAGAATAGGTACTCCGAATATGCACACAAAATACAGGCAAGTGGTGGGCTGGTTGCTTTGCCCATCGGGATCCCCACGTCCTGTCGAATTATCACATTAGTAGCACAGGTGTACGTGTGTTTGAGATCAATCCGCAGGAACCCGATGATGTCTTGGAAGTCCAACAATCTCCAGCGATCTGCACCGGTCGTCTTCCCAAAAGTAGCTCCCTTCCCCCTTGTGTTTACCCGCACCCACTCACGACCCTTCCTGCGACGGTAGTCAATTAGCCAATCTATTGCTTTCACAATATCAGCATGCGGCAACCTGCTAAACATGTCCTTGATATCGAAGGACATCAGTTTAAGATCGTTGACTGTACCGAGCCACCTAATCTTGGAATTAATAAGATCAAGACGGGAGGTCAGTAACGACACCGCAGGCAGGTTAAAGTGCGAGTCGCATGGAATATTAGAAAGTAGAAAAATTAACCCACGTGCCACAACTCTGCCAGTACGCACCATCGGTTCAGAAAATGTGGGGCAAATCAGTTTGTAACGGGTCAAATCCTTATGCTTAGGAATTATATACGCATTACCGAAACGTCCATTAGGATCCCACCGAGCAAACCTGTTTAGACCAGCGGTACGAACATCCTCACGTATCTCTCGAAGTAACATGCTTTCCTTTGACTCCATGACTTTGTACCCAGGATTCATAACAAAGGTATCAAGCATAGCTTCGTAATAGATTTTTGGGCACATGATCACGTTCTTTCCTGGATTGCGGTCCAGGGGAGTCATGACCAATCCCTCAAATCGTCTTTTTAATTCGAGCACATCAGCCACAGTCAAGGCATCCATTCTGTCTGACTGACTAACTATACACTTTGACAAGATAGCATTCGGGATGTAGGTAATGTCAGCCCTAAAGTTCCTCCATTCTCGAAAACCAGTAGTAATCTCCTGTCGTAACTGAGAAATCCGATCATGCAGTTGCGCCTTGGGAATGTTGTTCGCGTTAACCAAAAGTGGTTGCTCTACACACTCCAGGCCCAAGCGAAAGTGCACGTGACCATCCAAACGGGGATAGGGTAAGCCTGCACACTGGCAGGTCAGCACTTCCCGAGCTGCAAACGCTCGGTGATTATGCAATAACTCGTCGATAGTCCGATTCTTCTGACAAACTATCCGAGTCTTTTTTCGTGCACGTTGCTTGAAACAGGATGGTAAATCACAACCTAAAAGTACATCGTTCACTATCTTGCGGAGCTCACTCAGTCTAAGTCGATTGTCAAACTTAACCTTAATCAGCAGGTCAGCACTCAAGCTCAGGTTAAACTTTTCACTGAATACGCATGAAAGAAGGTGGCACAAATACTTCCGAGTGGATTTCTTGGAGAAGTCCTTAATGACGTTATACAACCGCAACAAGGATTTCATACCCCACGAATAAAATATGTTCAAAGCCCGTGAGTTCTTCAGAATGGATATGAGAAGATTTTTGAGAAACACACATTGAGGTTTCCACATCACAATGAAATCCACACGAATGGAACCACCTGACTTAAACCACAGTTTTGCATATCGAAGCTTAGACTGTTTTCCATCCTTAGTTAGTTTCGTTCGGCCAAAGGTCCGAGACAACTTCTTCCAGGGAGTCTGCCAAATGTTCCCGCCACTCGCGAAAATCTCGAAACTCTCTCCATTCTGGGCACGACCCTTGAAAACATCGAACAGGTCCAAGGACCATCTAGACTCGTTTCCAACACAAAAGCGTATCGGAGCAATGGCCCGCTCCGACTCCCCCAGTCCCTTCCCCGCTCTAGCCCTCTCCTTCCTACCTTTGCATGTTCTCCGGCCTCTCCCGGTCTTTTTGACGCCAGCGATATTAAAAAAAGGTGACCGCTGCTTAATGCACACGCCCTCCAACTTCGTCAATTCCCCATTCAACTTCGTCAATTCCCCATTAGTAATCGTATCGACAGGAATCAGTACGTACTTGTCCAAACCAAAGACACGAAGCCACCTATACAAGTGATTAGGCTTTTACGTGTCTTGCACGCATAGACATGTTCCCTCCACCGTACACCAAGGTGTCGAGTACCCTTACCAACATATTGGGACTTGCAATAGGGTGAGAAGCCAAGATAAACGCACTGCCGCAGATTGACAAACTCAGTGCCGAAGTCAGCATACAATTGAAGTCAAGCATCTACGCACTTACGTGTCCAGCGGAGTTCCCCAGCGAACGATAAACGTACGACGATCAATCGTAAAATTTTGTCAACACGCACATCTACGTAACCCAACAAGGCACACAATACAGTTAAGCTACTAACAATATCCCAAAGATCAGCAGTACCGAAAACACATTATCCCTCTGTGCTCTCGATAGTCACCTCAACTACATCAGCACTGACGTCGTCAAGTTCGGTAGACTCAGCTTCATCACTCTCAGGTCCATAGGCAAGCTGTGCCCGATGAGCGGCAATATCAAAGATGGACTCAAACTTACCGCCATAAGGGATACCCTCATCCCTACAGATGTTTTGCAGCACCAAAGCATCGAGTCCTTTAAGGTCTTTCATGATCTTCTTCTCGAATTTCAACCGTTTGACCATTCCAAGTCGAGCCGCATCACTCCTCTTCCGGATCGACGGTGGGGTCTTCTTCGGTGCAGGCATGTTCTCCTGTCTCTTAGCTTTGGCGCGCGTAAGGCATTCGGTCAACTTAGCAGGTTTCGTCACTCTCCTTGGCATCCGCTTTGGGGGTTGTTCCATCGGAGGACTTCCTTCGAAGACCGGCTCCGGGCCCTGTTTCCGTTTCTCCGTTATGCACAGCTTACGTGTTCGTTCGCTGATCTCCTCGGTGTCACTACCGCTTGCACCGCTCTCTTGATCCGATCCCGAGAGTGGGATAACTTTCTGCTTACCCCGTGCAACCGTCCTGCACAACTCGTTGATCACGTCTCGAATCTCAAGACGCACGTCCTCTCGTACGTCCTCACGCAGCTCCCCAACGCGCAGAGCAACCTTAACATCGAGATGCTTGTTCACCTCTTCAAACTTCTCAGCATCGCGCCGCAATTTCAGCATCGCGCCGCAATTTCACCTCCTTCCTCTTACGCTTCAGCTCAGCTTCCAAGCGTTCGGCTTCAGCACATTCTTCGGCCTCCTTCCTCTCCATCTTCTTCCGTTCCTTCATGGCTTTCTCCTGTTGCTCAATTTCAACGAACGCTGCTACGCTCTTGCCAATCTCAGCGACTTTAGACTCCAGTTGATTGCTGGATGTCGAACGCTTGCCTTGGCTTCTGTCGCCCCTAGTATCTGTCGAGGACGATGGTCGAGAATTGCGCTGTCATCTTGGCTGCGGGCGCTGGTTAGCATAGTGCCCCGGCTCATCACAATTGTAGCATCATAGCGGGCCACGGCGCGGTTCCCGCTCATAACTGCCATCTCTGTAATCTTGTCCCTCGCGTCCTCGGTCTCGACGCTCACGATCTTCATAACCCCGATCACGATGCTCTCCGTACCCGTACATATCGCCTTGGTCTGTTCAGCAGCGTCTGTCACAGTACTGTAACAGATAGTAACTCACAACTTCTGAAGCAAGTAGCGCGCTCACTTATTCCGGCTCGTTGTCTCCAGAATAGTTCACGAGAGCAGTAAACAGATGATTGGTTAGAACTCATGCAAATGAGAGTCACTCAACACAGAGTACGACAAGTAAGATGGTGTAAAGATGTAGAACTCAATAAAGTCCGTCCACATTCTTCCGCCAACCCAAAATCCACCAACCCAATAAGCCACAGTCCCCGACCGCTGCCGCAGTGCGGAAAGCGGTCGTCGAAAGAGAGAGACCTTATAGTCCGTCCGGGGAGGTCACTACAAAGCACACAGTCGCCAGTTCCGGCCGTACCGTAGTACTGCCAGTCCGACTAAGTAAGCTGTACAACCTACACTACCAATTCGTAGTAACATCAAACCGACGCGCGGGACCTGGTCCTAACTCACTACAAGGCCCACTGCCGTCAGGTCCGGCCGTACTACAGTACCGCCGGCCTGACTAAGTAAAGGATACAACTGACACCAACAAAAAATGGTACCTGAATCGTCCCAGGGCAAAAAAATACACAGAAGTAACCCACTTATATTCTGCAGCAGGCAATACCCTGTCAGAACAATCCACAGAAGTGACCCTGAGGCAAAAGTGTTTCAGTTTATTTTTCTGCATAACATATATTTTTTTCAGATTTTTTTGATTTTTTTTTTTTTTGCGTTTTTTCCGTACGTATGGCCCGTACTACCACATGAGCCCGTACGTACGGGGGTCTACATTGGTCCAGGGCAACCATGGTACAAACCATGTGTGCTTTTCTCTATCACAATCAAAACTTTGCAAATCAAATGTACATTCGCTTTGAAAATCCCAATTACGCTCACAAATTATGCAAAGTTGCCTATTTTCTTTATAATTATGAGCTTTTACAATCAGGACTATGCAGAGATGTACATTTATTACTACCAGAAATATGCGGTGTTAGTCCTTGGGGTTGGGGACATTCATGAAAATGGGAACAATACAAAGAAGATGAGCATGGGCCCTGCACAAGGATGACTCACATAAATCGAGAAATCAGTCCGAAAAGAAGAAGAAGAAGAAGAGGAGGAGGAGGAGGTAGAAGGAATATGAAGCATCACAAATTTGTGGGGGAGGGTACTTCCTCGCGAAATGACGCTTTTGAGCCCTCCGCCTACGAACAAGCGTCGCACAGCCAGCCTGTGGGCGAGTCGGTCCACTTCGCGCAGGGCAGCTGGTTCTGCCCGCACGGCGCACGGCGCACGCACAAACTAGGTGCACTAGTCAACCACCCATTATACCCCTCGTGCATCTCCTTTCCTGTCAGCCGCCTCCTCTCCTCCTCCTCTAATGTGCATGAAATGTGCACCCAGTGCACACACAATCATACTTGCCTGCGTGTGTGCACATTTCTGCATACTATTCTCCTACCGCTGCCACTGGTAAGTTTTGGACAAATTTTACTGTAGCTCGGCCTCCCATAGTGCCCTGGAGTCTCTACACACATGTAAATGTCCATCGATAGATAATGAGTTTGAATCTTGAGAGAATCAGATCAGTGTACACTGTACACCAATGTGACGGACTACAATCCCCTTACAAGACCGTCACTACGAGCACCCTGCTCACTGCTCAGATACCTCAATCCGTGTACTACAAGCACGCCACGATTTGCATGTGCTCGCCGGAGTCGCCTGGGGGAGGGGGTTGACTAAGATGACTTCATTTCGAATCATTTGGGCTCAAAAAAATTGCATTCGGCAATTTAGGGTCCATCATTGCAATGACGCTGTAAAGAAAAGAGAAAAGAAAAGAAAAGAAATGACATCCATAATATGGCCTCCTCCCCCCCCCCCCCTCCCCCCCCCCCCCCCCCCCCCCCACCACCAGAAAAAAAATAAAGGCCTCCTGACACTGCCTGACAGCTGCGTCCAAATAAGAAAAGGTCTGCAAGGAGTCTGTGGCTGGCTGAGTAACCAGACACCAGAGCTCGGAGGGAACAGGGCTTCAGTCTTGAGACCCTTCTGCAGGCCTCTGAGCATATTTTATGATCATTAATGAATTTAAACGGGGCACAGGCAGGCCCCTACAACCACCAAAGGCGCTGCAGCTCCTTAACTGGCAGTCTGGCACGCCTTGCTAGAGAAACTGGACCAGGCGCTTTGACTTCGTTCCACCATAATGACCCCAGCATAATGACCTCCTTGAAATCCTTGCACCTTAGACCTCTCTCTGAGGTACAGGGAAATATGCATGGCTCCTTGAGGCTTGAGGTTGTCTCTCAATCCAACCACATAGGATGCTCGGCATCCTGAATTGTTCTACAAGCTGCGCAATGGTGTATGAATGAATGCGGACCGTTTCTGAATCTGGGAGACCACCACAAAGCTAGTACCATGAAGACTGTCATCTTTTTCTGTTTTTTGTTTTGGTTTTGTTTTCCTCTCCTGTTTTCAAATTGGCTGACTGTGTTTGTTATATCATATGTTTGTTTGTTCTGTGTGTTTGTTTGTTTGCTTGTTTGTTTTGTTTTCTTTTCTTCTCTTTCTCCACCTCTGTCTGGTGTGTGTGTGTGTGTGTGTGTGTGTGTGTGTGTGTGTGTGTGTGTGTTTGTTTTGTAGGACTGTCTTTTTTTCTTTCTTTTTTTCCCAGTTGAAACACCGAAAAACAGCTAATTATGGTCTGATCCCACTGTACTTACGGAAGAAGAATCCGTAAAAGTAACGAAAAAGCTGGGGCCGCTCCAGTCGGGGCGTAAAAGAAAATGGGGACCCCACTGGCCCGTTTCGTTCACAGGTTTAGGGTTTAGGGTTTCGGCGGTTTTCGATGGGCGGGTTGATTTTGGGGTTGGAAAACGGTCCACTTGCACGGACACTACCGGGAGCGACGCTGTCGTACACTTGCACGGACAAACCAGCCCACCGAAACGGACACATTCAATTTCACGAAAAAAAATAGAAATGTGCCCCTTCTTTTTCACGGCAGGGTACGGGCCGAGTTCTCTTCCATTTTCCCTTCAGCTTTTTCGGCGCCGTTCATTCCCTGCCCGCCACCACTACAAATGTGTCCACTCGCCTCCTAAGCTACCGGGACCTCCTACGAAATCGGAATGCTGTGGGATCTGCCAAAACGCAGCTTTTTGCTAACCGTAAGTACTGTGGGATCAGAAACTTAGAGTGTGTCATTTTTGTTCCTGTGTGATCTGAGGAGGATGAAAAGGGAGAACAAAATGTATGTCTTAAACCACCAGGGCCGAGGTCCCACTACCGAAGCGGATTGGATCGAACTCCTGCATCTGGACGCATTTTAAGGAGAGATGCAGAAAAGCAGTTCAATCTCGCCTTTCTGCACCTTTCGACAAACACGTCCAGATTCAGGAGTTCAATCCAATCCACTTTGCTAGTGGGACCTCGCCCCAGTACCTTTCACAGCTTAGAAATCCGAGTGGCGCCAGTAAGGATGATGCACGTAGATGAAGAAAAAATGTGCAGCTAGGAGACTCCACAATGTTAATTCAAAGGAAAAAAAAAGAACAAACGGTGTTCTTTGGGGTACGGGTCTTTCAGAGCGCCACCCGCTTATTAAATGATACACCACGAGTCAGGCCCACTTGGAAAGTATTTGCCCTAGCCGGACATCCACTGGCAGGTGCACATCATGCACCTGCCCTTCTCGGAAGGTCAGGTACATTCTGAACTAGGAGCGTGTCTACTGGAATATGCTTGCCTGCTGTTGTGGCCTCCCAAACTCTTTAAATTTTCCCGTTTCTTTCTCAAATTTAAAGTTGTCTGAGGAACCGGTCGGTTCTGCTCCCTCCTATCTGATCTAATCCAGGCCATGTATGTGAGCCTGTTTCTGGCTCTGAGACTTGATCCATTCCATTCCTACCTTTTTTTAAATATGAACCTAGGCTTCTGCTTCGTGACGCAATTCCGTCCATGTATGTGTTCCTGTTTCTGGTTCTGATGGTTCAACCAGGTGTTCCCCGAGACGCAGCTCATGCAGTTGAGCTCTACACAAAGGCGTCCGAAGAGGGAAGTGCCGATGCCAGCTATCGCCTAGGCAATTGCTATATGACTGGCACTGGAGTGGAGAAGGACGAAGAGGAGGCAGTTTGGTACTACCAGCAGGCGGTATGTTGTTCGTGTTGTTGTTGTCGTTGTTTTCGTTCGTTTTTATTTTTTTTAATTAATTACTTAACTAGGCTAACAGAGTGGCCCGGGTCCACTTGCCCGGCCAGGCAGAAAAGAAAAAAAAAATAAATAATAAAAAAAAAATAAATTTAATTTAATTTTTTGCTTTAAATTTGGTAAAGAATTTCGATGTGACCCTGAGGCAAACGTTGTTCCGTTTATTTTTCTGGTCCTTGCACGGCCGGGCCGCCCGGGAAAATAGGGTGACCCAGGCGGCCCGGCTGGTAGCCTAGTTAATTAATTAGTTAGTGAACACCTTGCCAAACTATTACTCGGAGTGTTAGGAGAACCTGGAGAAGCCTCCAGTAGTACCTGTGTGTGTGTGCAGCTCCGATCTGTTTGGTGGGGACCAGCACCTGCGGCTGGCAGTGCGTGCAACCAGCAATGATGAATCAGTCTACGACCAATGTCAGAAGCAGAACCACAAAGGCGAAGAAAATAATTTCAAGTTTTTTTTGCATCTGGTAGGGGAGGAGGAGGAGGAGCTCAAGATTGAGTTAAAAGTGACATTTTCTCTGGGCTACCAGCCGGCAGCGGCGGGTCACCCTGGCTGACCCATGCAGGCAAGGGCCAAGGAAGGTCGTGGCAAAAAAAAAAAAAAAAAAAAAAAGAAGCCCCCCAAAATCCAAAAAAATCCGGGAAAAAGTACGTTATGGAGAGAAACAAACTGAACATCTTCTTTCTCAGGGTCGCATTGAAATCTTGGCTCGGCCCCGCAAGTGGTCCCAGGGGCGTGGTCCCACTAGCAAAGAGGATCGGATCTTATGCCTGAATCTGGACGAGTTTATGGAGATGTGCAGGAAATCGAGATTGAACAGCTTTTCTGCATTTCTGCTTAAAACACATCCAGATTCAGGAGCTCGATCCTATCCGTTTTGCTAGTGGGACCTCGGCCCAGGCCACTCTGGTCGCCGACGTAGCATTTTTTCTTTCTTTTGTGCACCCAAGTAAATGTCCCAAATTTCCCAATGGACTGTCTTTTGTGTTTTTCCAACTTTTTCTTTTGCACCCATAGTACTACCTTCCATTGGGACATCTTTTTAGCCCAAGTTCCCAGTTTTTTTTGGTTTTCTTTTGTGTTTGTTAAAGGTTATTCTCATCTTTTGGGGAGCCCTGTTTAGCCAACGGCAAGTCCTTCATCATTAGGCACATAAAAAGTGCAGAAATTAGTGCAAACTTATGCCCTATAACTAGGCTACCAGCCGGGCCGCCCGGGTCCCGGGTGGCCAGCCCGTGCAAGGACCAGGGAAGGTCCCAGCAAAAAAAAAAAAAAAAAAAAAAA